GACCGTTGAGTCACGTGGACTCCATATATGGCGTCTTCCTGAGCAAATCCTGCAACGAAGTACTTTACTTAGTCAGTATAGGTAATCTAGTGAAGGATCCATCTGAAAGCCTTNCCATGGGGGCCGATGAGTATTAATAAGGTAAGAACTCAATAACTTTTTCATCGTGAAACTTCAGGCCCCGATAAAGGCCCCGATAAAAAGAATTGGAGAAGGGGCTACGAATTTATGACTACAGAAATGAAATGATTGGGTTGTTGGGGTGAGCTGTCAGTTTGTCAGTTTGGAATTGTCTTAAGAGTTGGCCACAGTAGGCTGGAAAAGCTGAAAAATCGCCTTTCTTTGAGCGAATTTACAGTGCCGGCGTTAGGACGCTGATGTTGACCCTGGACCTCGACCGATACGCAAGTCGAGGCCGATACTCATGCTGCAGGGTGAGGGTCATAGCAAAAGGATAGAAAGGGAAGATATGGGTGTGGGAAGTTTTTTGGTATGCGCAGCTGAGAGTGTATGACTTATTTTCCTCAAGGATGTACCCTAGCATGAAAAAACTTCTTTTGAAGAAGAAAAAAGATGCGTCCAGTACCGTTCTTTACGCACATTCCGGGTAAATGAGTGGCCGTCTGTAACTGTTTGGATTCACTTACATTAGTGTGAAATAGCGGTCGCCGTCTTAACGCCGAAGCCGACGTTTGCGTTGCACAATGAACGCATTTACTGCCGCCATGGTTCACTACTAGTTGGTTGAATTTTCAACACATGTGCTCTAATGTGAATGAATCAGCTTTGACAAGGCTGAACCACACCGTAACACTGCCTTTCTTGTTGTCTACGCACCGCCAGGCTGATCTTTTAGCCCTTATCAGGCCGTATCCGAGTCCGTTTTCAACACGACAATGTCCCATGTGCTATCCTTGGGGTCACAGCTTTATCTTGCCGTGAAATCTAAGAAGCTAGCTTTATCGTGAAGTGCGTCTCAAGTGAAGACCGTTGAGTCACGTGGACTCCATATATGGCGTCTTCTTGAGCAAATCCTGCAACGAAGTACTTTACTTGGGTGTGTGCCGATTCGTGCGATTCTGGGTGCTCGCGGCAAATTGCGCGGCAGAATTCGTGAAGATTCGAACGACTCTGACGCCTATTATNTCTACTTCAAGTTTGTGCCCCAATAATAGGCGTCAGAGTCATTCGAATCGCACCGAATTCCGCCGCACAGTTTGCGTCGCGACCCAGAATCGCACGAATCGTGCGTCCCCCACTTTACTTAGTCAGTATAGGTAATCTAGTGAAGGATCCATCTGAAAGCCTTGTATTGCATCTGCTGACCCCCGTATTCCATTCATGAGATTGAGTACAAACTCAATTTTGATGATAGCTCTCGATGAAAGCCCAACGTCGCGAAAAAAGTGTGATCCACGTCAAATAATTCATCGTTTATCAATTTCGGCACAGACATGTGGCACAGTTGTTTGCGAATTGACTAATTGCTGTATTGCCATTGAAAGAAAAAAAAGGAACCACGTGGAAGTAATAAAAAGGAACAATAATGAGAACCGAGTAGCATGACGAGAAAACATAGTTAGCAACTTTTTATTGCAGAAGCTCCGACGTCATAACTGCACCCTGCACAGTAAGAATGATTAAAAATGGAGAAGCTCCCGTCGAAGATCCGGGACCATCTAGAAAAGCAGTCGATAATGCACAAGAAGCATAAGGAGTGCTGCTGGAAAGGATGAACCGACTCCAAAAGAGGTGAGTTCTTTATTAAATCATAGTTGCTAGAAGGATCGTCAGCCTTCCGTCAAAGAGGATAGGTTTCTATTCACACACACACTTTCTGAAAAGGATTAGCCTATGGCCACAAAAGGTACGTTCTTAATCAGACTCATAGACGAGAAATTTGATTGGCAGCTTGACGGCAACGAACAAGGTCAGCAATTTTTTTTGTTCCTTTTAATCTCTTGTGTTATGGTGCACTCAGTAACGGAAAAAAAAGAAAAATTCCATATTGTAATGAAACTTGGCTAGAAGTCCAAGAACGAAAACCTTTTCCAAAATGATTTTACATTGTTGGAGCTAGTCACTCAAGCTTCGTTAGTGCGAAACAGGTAGGGCTAGAAGTTTATGAAAAGTATCGTGTCCTCGTTGCATACAAGAGAAATAGCGAGTCAGTGAAATAGTAAATGCTATCTATCAGTAAACGGCAATTTCTAATTTGAGAATATGAGAATCACAATGAATCTGTATGAATTTGCATCTCGTAATGAACTCTACCTGTTAGACCTTAAATAAGATCAGTTAAAATTTACCGAGTAGCAGACTCCGTATATTTACCGAAATCCATTTCAAACGCAAAGAAATTGGTCGGTTTGAAGGAACGTCACTTTGCTATAGCTTAAGCAGGAGATTTCCTGCTTGCATTTTCCAATATCCCTAGAAGACGTGGATCATATTGCCAATTTGAACCGAGCTTCTCAGCAGTGCTAGGAAAAGCGCAGTATTACTGCCTATCTTGTTACCATAGGAATTGACAGGCGGTACTAGTACAAAAAGAGGATTCGTGTAAATTGATACACAAACAATTCAGATGATTTATCTATTTATTTATTTACGTATTTTCTTTAGTGGGGTTTATGCGTGGTTATTTATTTATTTGTCTGTTTATTTATTTATGAATCAATCTATGACGGCAATCTATGACGTGTCATCGTCAACCGAGAAAATGTACGTAGAACTAGTAACTGTTGGGAAAATGTAACGAGCAAATAGGAATTGCAGTAATTTTCTATTAAAGTACATAAAAGTAATTATCCACCAGTTCTCGAAACAGCATTAAAGAGGAATTGACGAAATTCATTGCAGAGCTCATAAATGTGAACAGTTAGGCATTCGCATGTCTTTTATATTGATTATTACTCAGTTGTAGTCAGTTTGGTAACTCGAGTGCGGGTAGGAACTCAAACCTACTCTTTGGCGAGCTAATCAGTGCTCGTAAACGGTTGCTTGGATAGTATTATCTACCGGTTGCTCCATTTTCGTAGTGGCAGAAAAAATCCAATACTTTCTACTTATTCTGTTAATTCCTCATGATGGGATATGTGTAACTTGGGTGCAATAGAATAGAATGGCGGCCGATTCGCTTTAAAACTGATCATTGAAAACAATACGAAGTGCTGGTTCAGTTCCACCGAACAGTCAACAATGCCAAAGTATTTATTGACATATTCCATACTGTTGAAAACAATAGATGACGTCTTATGTCGCTGTACCAGGAGGAGCACATAGCTTGTCGGTGTTGCAGGTGTTGTAGGCAGTGGGGCAAGCAGAACACGGCGTTCCTTTCTCATAGATCTGTTCATTGAACCTATTTCCTCTGAAAAATAATAACTATTTCTGTTCAAACCGATCATCTCTTTAAGATTATTCTCCTTCTTATTATTCACTAGATCGAATATTCGGCAGAATTGTGTAGAGGAAAGATTCAGGATACAAGCGAAAGCGTCTAATTTATTCCAACGATCGCGGATTTGGTTGAGTTCAGATAGACGTACCCGGGTGAGTAGTGACACACAGCGGACCACTGGTTATTTTCACATGAAAAGACTCCACATCCGAATTGTTGGGTGGTTGCCCAGGCCATCTGTAGATTAACAACAAATAGGCAGAAATCATAATGACCAGAAGGAAATTCCGTAGAAAAAGAACAAAAGTCATACCCTGGTGAACCAGGAGATAGGGCTGTTTGCGTCACTTACAGTAAATGTTAGGTCTTCGATACCGCCAACCACTCTTATTTGACTCCACCAATGTTTTATAGCCTGGACATGCATTAGACCATTGAGGAAGGGTTTTAAGCCTTCGAATTCTACTTACCACAATAATTGCTTCTTCGGGGTTCTGGGCTTCACTTTTTGGCACCATGTACATGTTTTCCACCATTAGAGCGTAGGGTTGACCTTGGATAGGTTCGGAAGAACATCTAGACGCGGATGAAATAGCGGTGAGCTCGAAGCTAGGGCTGTACTGCTGCAAACAAACCAATCTTAATCAAGTGGTCTTTGACGAGCTATAGGCTTGGAAGCGGAGACGGACATAACTCTTCGTTTACCGCAGCGCTATTTTGTTTTTGGTAAGATGTTGGCAGAGTAGGAAGTGCGCAGGAATGCTAAGCTTATTCAAAAAGGAGCTGTATAACGCGATCACAATGAGCAGCATAACTTTCACAATTCTTACATGAGCATCTGTTTGTTATC